GCGGCCGAGAGCCCGTTCGATCAATCAGCAGCACGGAGTAGCTTATGGTGTGACTCTTGGTGTTCGTGCATATCAATTCACATCTCTTGGTTTCCCTAAACATCTGATGCGGCCGGTATGAGACGTTTGCGACTAGTCGTCCAGCTGTTTTTCCCCGTGTTGTGTATTGTGTGTGATATGTATTTTAACTTGGTTGGTGCGTATGTTTTGTGTGAGCTTTTGCATTCTCTGTTTGCCGGGGGGACAACGCCCGCAGCGCTCTCCTCGCACACCGGCGGCGGCGGCGGCGGCGGCGGTGCTTGATGCATCATCGTGGCAGGTGATCGCTTGCCCCAACCCAATCAACCCCCCCCCCCCCCCCCCCCCCCCCCCCCCCCCNCCCCCCCCCCCGGCGGAGCGGCGTCGTTGCGGCGAATTACTTGCTGCTTGCTCTTGCTTGTCAGAGGCGTGTGGGGGCGAATCTACGGGGGCAGCTGGGCGATAGACCGGCAGTGCTTGTGGTTGCCGCCGTGTGTGTCGGGGGGTGGGGTGGTGGTGGTGGGAGCAGCAAGAAACCGCATGCAGTCGAAAACATCAGTTTCGCCGCGGGGTTGGTGGCAGTCTTGCATTGCGTTATTTGCCCGCATGGTCTTGTTGCGGTTGGTTTACTTTTGTACGTCGTGGTGTTTGTTTATCCGTCGGGGTCGGGCGTCCCGAATCGCAGCAGATGCCTTGCGAAAGCGCGAAAATTGATGGGGGGCCACGGCGGTTGGCTCCAGAGATGGAAGGGCTGGTTGCATGTAGTGGGGAGGGTTTGTTGTCCCACCCGAGCTTCTGTCACTTTGTCGTAGATGTTGTCTTCAGTGCGATTACCAATCATTGCGATTACGAGGATGGAGCCGTCATTTTGATGGGAGGCTTGTTTTTTGCGTTCGTTTGGGTTGTGTCCTTCTCCACGCCCGTCCTGTTCTCTTGTTGCTGGTCGGGGGGGGGGGGGGAACCTATATATAACCCGAGAAGAAAGTGGCGGTGGGTTCCATTCGTCGAAAGTACATTTTCATGGTTTTGCGTTTCAGGTGCGGTCGTAACAGACGACGTCTTCGAAATGGTCAAGGTTGCGGCGAGTCTCGGCGGGATTTGCTTGTTCACCGGCGGCCTAAGCGTGGATATGGTTTTTCAGTATGTGTTATACAGTAAGCGCAACGAGGGCTGGCCGCTCACAAAGCAGGTTGATCGTGTACGAATGAAGCAGCTGCGAACCACAGGGAGGGTGTCGTGGTGGGCGCATGATTCAAGCGAGAGCCATATATGCTGTTGATGTGTGGGTGGTGCAATGGTGGGGGTGGGGAGGAGAGGGGAATCTATTCAAGAGTTGTGTTTTCTGTCTTTGACATAAAAAAAATCGTTCCAATCTCTCTAAAAATGTACGTCCTTTATCTATCGTGTGCTGTCTTGACGTTAAAAAAAAAGTTCCAATCTCTGCTCCATACTGACCGAACTGACGCCGATAGGATGCCTTCTGTGGTCGCAGGCTATCTACACATCCATGGTCGTCGCAGGCTGACTACTCCGCATGATACAAGGGGTGGTTACAACAATCAGATTTGTCGTTTGGATCTTGTCGCTTGTGCTGCATTTCAGATCCTTTCTCAGGCACGCCTTTCGAGTACGATCGAAAGAAACCCGTGCTTTTTCGCGAACAAAAAAGAAAGGCACACGTCGTAATGTGAGAACACTGCAACACTGCCGTCCGTGGCGCTCTCCCTTTCTACCCATCCCTGTCCGAATTAACGTACATTTTATGTTTTGCCGAACGGGTTCACCTGACGTGCAAAAAAAAACAATGGCGGCGTGTGTTGGCGGGGGCTGCACGCACTTTCACTGCCGTTGGTGGCCGTGCGGTGGAATAGGATCGATCCCCGTCATGCCATCTATTTTCTATTGGCCGCCGTGGCCTGTGTTCGATGTCGACGATCTCTTTCAGCGGTCGATAAAGGCAAAAGAGAGAATGATAAACACAGAGCAACACTGTTAGCCCTGCGCCTGACCCCCCTTCTTGGTGTATGCGCGTGATCGGGCTGTTGGTCGAAAAAACACAAAAATAAGGTTTTTCCGCTTTTCAGGTCGCCGGCGCCAAATCTTGTTTTGGCTTGATATTAAAGAGCGAGAGAAAAACGCGAAATACTCGATGCCACAAACGAGCTGGCTCTTGCGGTTCAGTACACACCTGTGAACAGGACATATCTATGGATTCATCGGTCAGTTTTTCAATCGGCGGGTTCTAACCCATCGAACACTCTAAAAACAAGTGATTTTCGGCCCTTTTCGCCTGCTGCCACGAACGTGAGCAACTTCAACGCAAATCGCCACCGATGAAAGCGTAGCTCTCCTTCTCAGCAAGGTGACGCAAAAAGCCACGCTAGAATCCACTGCGTCATCGTCGCGCAAAACGAATCCCCAGATCGGGTACTCATCGGGTACTCATGGGTACGACTGGGAAGAAAAAATCGTCGGACTCGAGGAAAAAACGAAAGCAAAAGTTCTCGAGACAAAACGAGATATGTGTCAAAAAACATGGTATGACGATGGAGGCCAGGGCGTCGCAAGCAAGGTTCGACGGGCTGGTGAGGAGGGCAGACGTCAAGGGGTTGACACGGAGCCGCGACGCCGCAACGGCGAAAGCTGACGCCGCCCGCGTACAAAAGAACAAGGCGAACGCGGCAAAGAGAAAGGCGGAGAGAGTAGCAGCAGAAGAAAAAGAAGCAGCAGCAGCAGCAGAAAAAGTTGAAGCAAGCAGGCAGCGAGAGCTACGCCAGGTAGTAGCACAAGCTGATAGGGGGCGGGGTGGTAGGCAGTCGTCTCAGGTTCGTGGGCGCGGGCGGAGGCAAAGCGAGCGCGGTGGTGGCCGGAGCACCTGGGATGATGTGCGAGAGTTTTTGTTTTTTTTGTGCGTTTGTTTTTCTTGCTGCTGCGGCTGCTGCTGCTGCTGCTGCTGCTGCTGCATTTTTTCGGTGAAATGATTTTTGTGCCACGGCACAAAGGCTGTACCGCCGGCGCTACTACAGCTCTTTCTGTCGTTGCTGCCCCATCAGTAGCTCTGGCTTACGTACTTGCTGCGCAGTACCTGTTCGGCCTCAGGCAGGCGAGGAAAGGTTGCAAGCGTGGGCAGTTCCTTTTTGATGTTGTGTTGTGTCAAATCAACTTTTTTTTTCGTGTTGAATATATAATTATGCCTGCCATCATCCATCAACTTCGGCGTTTCTTTCGCCATCGCCTACATTTGTGTCACGGCGCAAAGGCTGTACCGCCGGCGGTACTGCAGCTCTTTCTATCGTTAGTGCGCCATCAGTAGCTCTGGCTGATACACGTGCTGCGCAATACCTCTTCGACCTCGTGCAGGGGAGGAAAGGTCGCGAGCGGGGGCAGTGCCTTTTGGGTGGTGTTGCGTTGTTTCAAACGACGTTTTTTTTTCGTGTTGATTCAAAATACATCTGCCTTCATCCATCGCGGATTCTTTATCACATCTCATCGTCATCCTCCCCGCTCAGCTCGTCGGACAGACCACTCTCAGACTCCGACCCCGGCACAACATCGTCGATCACGCTCCTAACCTGCCACTCGGGGCCATGATTTGTGGCGCCGGTCAGCAGTGAGGTGGTCGCAGGTCTAGTTTGATCTCGAGGGAGCACACGCATCAACCCCACCGCCGTGTGTTGTCCGTGTATGTGTTGTTGTCCGCGCGCATCCACGCCCGCTCAAAAAAATTCAAAAAATACAAGCCATCGCAGCACATGTTCAGCCTGTTCGCCCTGGAAATGGACGCCGCTGTCAAAATTAGTCGGCTTTTATTGGCTTGGCAACGGAAAAAAAAAAGAAAGAAGTCTATTCGAAAGACCCTCCGCGTGACAGAATTTGGGCTCAAAAACAGGGTCAGGCGCAGGGCTAACTGTGAATTCCCAGAACGAGCACCAATCGAGAATAGAAGGATCACGAACGCATCTTTCCACGTTCTAGTCGCCTGAATTGGGCTGTCGGCAAAAATATACACACAACACAACGCAGCCGTGGCGGGGTCTAGTCCATCTACAGCTTTACCCATGTAGCGGTTGGGTGAAGCCCTCCTCATCCTCCAACCTTTTCGGCAAAACCCCTTTTGACGAACGAAGAATACATGTATACTTTCTAAAAAAGATACACGTCGTAGCTGTCTAAGCTGCAGTAGCAGCGGCAGCCGCCGCTGGTGTTGGTATCGGCTTCTACAAGAGGGGCTGCGCCCTTAGCACGACCACAGGAGGAGAAAGCCCATAAGACATGGTGCATGCACGCACAAGGGTGTTGTTGTACATAGACCGCACAGCTCTACTACACTCACCCAGCAAGAAGCGGAAGAAGACGACCACCAACAACGAAAACGACAGATGGCCATCGAGTCAAAACACACGCCACCAAATCCTACAAAACAGCACCAGCATGCATGATGACAACCCTAAAGCTGGAGTCCCTTCCTCCAACTCATACGTGCACACATACCTATTATTAACTTTCCCGAAGCCACACAGCAGCCTAGCCAGCCGGACACGCAGCCAACGTCCCCACCACAACCACCGATGGCTGCCCCCCAGTGCTGTTCACGCGGCTTCCTGCTCAACTCGTCTTGAAATCCGCAGCAGCTCTAGCGACACTCGTCAGCATCACTATCATATTCATCCCCGTGTATCCTTCCTCTCAGCCAAAATCGGGAAACGTTGACCGATCTCTTGCGCTACCGCACCGTCGGTAACGCTGCCGCAGCCACCGCTCACGGTGGAGCATGTGTCTCGCAGCCCTGTTCGGCACAGGTCTCTCGTTTGGGGCGCCTGCACCACCATCCAATGGTGCTCAGATCTTTTCCTCCCATGGACAGCCGACGTCGTACGGACGAAAGCTTCGCAGCGACGGGCAGCAGCACGCAGTCCCGTCACCGCCAAACATCTGTGAGAATATGCTCTTGCAATGTCCACGCGCAAGATGCGCCGCGGATAACGGGAGGCAGGACTGCGAACAGGCCTAGCGCCGTGCGCGCCGTCCTATCAGCGCACGAGCCCTCCTCAGTCCATACCCCACCCCTGGACACCACGCCGTACCTTGATCTGTGGCGGACGATGGAAGCAGTCAGTAGCCGCAGAAAGGAGACCGCTGAACACAGCCGAGAGTTAAACACCGTGTGGTGACAAGTGTGCCACTACGGGCCCCGGCCCTACGTTGGACGCCCCACTCCTGTCTCGGTAATTATATACTGAGACCTCCGTTTCGGCCATGTGTACCAGCACACGAACCGAGGTTACACACGGCTGCGTATCGAAGAACAGGAGACGCATAAACCGCGTCGTTTCTCCGGCCAATCACTGTTATACCGACCGTGTCAAAGGTAGCGCCTTAAGCAGATAGCACACCACACCACCAGCTGAAGACGGCGGCGAGCAATCAGCCTGCTGCTCCTTTTAGTGCGGTAATTTAGTGTTACCCAGCAACCTCTCTCACAGCGTGAAAGAAGCAGTAGACGCCGCGACGAACCACTGCCGACTGAGCGCTATCGGCTCGGAGGCTACCTCCCAGCCCTTTTCTCCGTAGGAGTTTTCCCTGCTGCTGCTGCTGCTTCTTCTGCTGCTGCTGCGGCGGCGGCGGCAGCGGCGTCTTCCTCCATCTGCACGCGGCGAACCTTCGCTTCTCCGCGAAGCCGGCCCCTTCGCTTGGCATTCTCGAGCGCTGTCTCGTCGTGCAGCGCGAATCGGTCGAGGGCAACGTACCCCACGTACGAAGCAGAGGCCAACGCAAGAGCTACTTGCTGCAACGTGCGCTTGCGGCTCATAGTGAACGCCACAGCAGCAGGAGGTGTGTTGCGTGTGCAAGGAAACGAGGCAGACGAGGCGGGGAGCGGCGGAAATAGGTAGGTTGGGGGGCACGCAGATTAATAATCCCCTCCCCCCGATAGAGCGAGAAAAATAGCTAACGGCTGCCGCTGCGGTTGGACCTAAAAACAAATCGAGCTGTTGCCAACAGAGGAAGCACAGAAGGAGCCCACACATCAGCGCAGGAAGGTGCAGCCACGACAGATAGGCGTACACTCGGGATAACGCGGGACCAACGTCGCCCAGGGGAAGCTTGGAGGTAGAAAGAGCGAGACGACTATTTACATACACCCACGCTTGGGGATAGCAGCAGCACAGCAGACTCAAATGCCGAGGCCGAGTGCAGCAGCATCAGAGGACATGGACGTCAGCCAAAGAGAAAAAGAGCAGGGGAAGGGGGAAGGAGAGGGCGAGAACGAGATGACAGTGGACGAGGAGGAGGAAGAGGAGGAGGAAAGCGCAGGCGAGACTGAGCAAGAGGACGGGCGTCCAGCAGCAGGAGAAAGGCAACTAGCAACAACGGCACCAGCAGCAGCTGAGGCAGCACCGCCCCAGCAACAGGAAGAGGCTCCCGCGCCGGCGCGGCTGCTGATCACAAAGATGGAGATGGAGAACTTCAAGTCCTACGGCGGCCTCCGGGAGATCGGCCCCTTCCACAAGTGCTTCTCCTCCATCGTGGGGCCCAACGGGTCCGGCAAGTCCAATGTGATCGACGCCATGCTCTTCGTCTTCGGAAAGCGGGCCAAGAAGCTCCGCCTGAACAAGCTCGGCGAGCTCATCCACCGCTCGGACACCTACCCGAACCTGGACTTCTGCCGCGTGTCGGTGCACTTTGTGGACATCCTGGACGTGTCCGGGTCGGAGGACGACTACGAAGAGGTGAGGAGGGAGGAGGAAAATCATTTCCGTGTACAAGGTCACACAAGATACCACACCCCCTTGGACGGATTTTAATAATAGTCCTCCACAGCTTGGCTAGAGCATAATGGGAGGATATGAGTAGAAACAGCAGTCCGGAGGGAGAGAGGTGAATGTTACGATTTGGAAAAGTCTGGCAAATGCTGCTTACTACAAGGCACTTCACAACGCAATTCCAGATGTTGTACGGGAATTTGTGCAGAAAACCGCGATCCAAGCGCTTGTCTGTACGTACGTAGCACAACCGTCCGTTGGAGCTGCTGCCGTGTGGGCAAATCGCTTGCAGAAGCAGGCATATCGACATTTACTACGGTCCCAACGCCGCTACTTTCGGCACCTTCACCTCATGTTCCGCAATGAACATGTATACGAGCTTTTCGCGTACTCCATGGCGGAACAGAGAGTGGAGGTGCGGAAAGGGTAGCGGCGTTGGCTATCTCCTACAGAGCTTTCCGAAAACATATCTTCACACGTAGTCGAACTTGGAATTTCGGCTCGGGGTATATCTTACAGCTGTACGTCACCACCAGCAGTAGTGTGATTAAGTTGGGTGGTTCCCAATCACGATCGGCGGCAGCAAACGAAGCAGCAGCAGCCACCATCATAAGCACCACCATGAAAGAAAATCCTCGTGACGATGGCACATCCACTACCTTGTAGCGGCAATGGTATCAGGGTGGCCCTTGGCACCAGAGATTTCCGAATCTCAAAATCGAAATCAAATTTGATTTTCGATTTTCGATTTCGGGTTGGCTCTACTAGGACACCGATGGTGACGCATCGAAATCGAAAGTGGAAAACACCATGGGTGAAACGATAAAGACCTGAGAAGTGTCGGTTGCAATGATTCACACCATGACCATGATAGTGACAGGCCATCCCACACAGCGAGCCACAGCGCCGGATGTCGGCGATGATCGGGCGGGTTGGGGGTCTTGCTCTCACATCGATACGCTGCGAAGTCAGCCAGCAATGTGTGATTGAATGCTGCGTGCTGATGTAGGAAAGCCGAAACAGCTGCCGTTCGTAATGAAATAATTTCACGGCGATGACTGTCTCTCTCAACTTAGAGCAGATTTCGCTCAAAGAGAGTACACCGTGCTCTGCTGTGTGCCAGCTCTCTGCCAAGCTATTGCTTGTATCGCCAAGCAGTCTGTAGGTGGCTTATCGAGCATCGAGACGAAGGCATGTACGGCTTTCAGAGAGTCTGGCAAGCAGCTGGCAAGCAACTTCTTGTTCCTGTTCACGCTTTAGATTATCGATTTCGAGTCTGTTCGTGCTCGTTTATCATATTGCCATATCGGAGAATATTGGGAACAATTACCCCCAAATCGAAATCTGGCGGCGGAACACTAGAGCCCTGTCCAATCAGTGACATTTTCGATTTTCGATTATCGATTTTCGATGGAATAGCGGTCTGAGAAGGGCCACCCTCAACAGCGCGCGCCTGTGTGTGCGGGAGGCAGCAGTGCTGCATAACGCACCAGTTCGCCATATAGGTGGATGCCCTGCACACAACAGCTGCTGCTGTACGTACGCAACGCGAATTGTGATTTTTGTTTTCTGGAAACACGACCACAGGGCTGTCGTTGTCGGCCTACATAACGCTGCATGCAGTCTTCGGCGACGTGACATGCTCCAAAAATTACCCCTGCCATCCTTCTCCCAAAAATCGGATCGGTCCCTGAATCGGTCGGAGAACAGGTCCCCGGAACGGAGCTCGTGGTGACCCGCACCGCGTACAAGGACAACCACAGCAAGTACGAGGTCGATGGCAAAACCAAGACTTTCAAAGAGGTGAGTGAAGGACCTTTTTGTTTGTTTTCACGCGCTACAGCAGTATGTACCTGTGCAGGCAAGCCGCAGCTATCGATCTATTCCTCCACACTGCGGTGGTTTCACCTTTGTCGTCTTCCCGGGAGTAACAATCTGTGTGCACCAAGATATCTACGAAGTAATCTTGACGTTTTGTGCGCTTTGCTTGTTTTGTTGCCGCTGTGGGGGCTGTCACAGGTTGGAGCACTGCTGCGCAATAGGGGCGTGGACCTGGACAACAACCGTTTCCTCATCCTGCAGGTGCGGGGAGGAGGGGATGGGAGGGGGTTACTCATGTTTTGCACGCCTCAGCTTGTAGGCCATTGTGGACCTTGACAACAACCGTTTCCTCATCCTGCAGGTGCGGGGAGGAGGGGATGGGAGGGGGTTACTCATGTTTTGCACGCCTCAGCTTGTAGGCCATTGTGGACCTTGACAACAACCGTTTCCTCATCCTGCAGGTGCGGGGAGGAGGGGATGGGAGGGGGTTACTCATGTTTTGCACGCCTCAGCTTGTAGGCCATTGTGGACCTTGACAACAACCGTTTCCTCATCCTGCAGGTGCGGGGAGGAGGGGATGGGAGGGGGGTACTCGTGTTTTGCACGCCTCAGCTTGTAGACCATTGTGGACCTTGACAACAACCGTTTACTCATCCTGCAGGTGCGAAAGTTGTTTGTGGGTACTCGTGTTTTGCATGCCTCAGCGGTTAGACATTGACCATCCGTCTATCCTCAAGAGGACGGAGCATTGTTCCCATAGGGAGGGGTGGGATCAACCTGCTAGAGGGTTCAACTTTTCCTTTCTTGTTCGAGGGGAGATGGGTGGGTGTGGGTGTACGCCATGGCCGGCAAGTACAGACGGGGCAGATCTCAGCGGCATAATTATCCCAAGGGCGTGCGACCTTCTTGGTGACACACCTACACCCATCGAATACAACCATTTGGCGAGTTCCCGCAATTTCTCAAGACGATTGTTACATACATGGCGGCACGATAAAAAATAATGTTTGCTGGGTTTGGTCACAATACGGAGGTGGAAATCATGCCTGACCGAGCTCGCCTTTGTTTTTTCGTCACAGCTAGTTTGAAGGTCGAATCATTTTATTTTTTGCTCCCGCGTATTTGGTGCACTCCTAGAGGTAATATCAATGGGAAGGCCGAAACCAGAGCTTGCCAAAACTCACATTTCTTTCCTTCTTTTTTTCCCCGCACCTTTGGCGCACACACACCCAGGCCACGGCACTCAGGTAGAGGTGGAGCAAGTCACCACATGTCAAAACCATACAGCAGTAGCCAGGCTGAACCCGCATTATTTCTTTTCATCACGGTGGGAATGTCGAAACCAGAACTGTTTATTGTCTTTGCGCATATTTGGTGCCTACACACAGGCACGGTTGCGACGCACGTTTGCGGCACTCAGGTAGAGGTGGCAACAACGGGAATTCGTCGAGACCAGAGCCGCCGAACTCTCCCCCCCCGCTTTTTTTTCTCTCGTGCCTGTTTGGTGCACCCTTACGCGCGGGCACACGCGCGGCTGGGGCACTTCAGGGAGAGGTGGAGCAGATCGCGATGATGAAGCCCAAGGGCCTAACCGAACACGAGGACGGGCTCCTGGAGTACCTGGAGGACATAATCGGGTCCGACCGTTTCGTTGAGGCGGCGGAGGAGGCCGCCAGGAGGGTGGAGGAGCTTAACGACCAGCGCGCCGAAAAGGTACGTGGTGTGGCAGGGGTTAGGGGTGGTGTGTAGGTTGAGGTCCTTCTTCGGCGATTTCAGGACGTCACGAACAGGACGTCACGAAAATGCTGTTGTTTTCTTCCGGTCTCTACCCAATACCTTCCTCTGTCCGTACTAGTCTAACACTTGACGCGGTCGACTCCCGTGGTCACAAGCTAAGTTGCCCCAAAAATGTCCCAAATGTAAACTGAAAAAGGCAAAATGAATAAATCCTCTCTCGGAGTGCGCGCTACGGTTACGACACCCGGCACTGCATTGTGACTCAATCGCGAAAGATTTCGTTTCGCACTCCCGCCGACCTGCCCCTGCAAGTTGTGCAAGGCCTGCCTTCCTGCCCCCAACAAACCCCACCCTTAAACGGACCCCTCCGACTGCCATAAAAACTATACTAAGACCATTGGTGGGTCGGGCTGAGCGACCCCTACAGCAGTATTTTGTGTCATGAGGGAACATGGTCGCTACTCATGGCAGGTCACATCACGGCTATTCGCTCACGGATGCAGAGCGCGCCACCTCATG